GAATCCTTGCTCTTAATATCTGTTTTTGTACACATACTTGCACAAGGAATTTCTCCTCCACAGCCTTGGTATACATAAGCCCGTGTGCTGGTGGTCACTTAGGCTGTAACTGGAATCTACCACTGTTGTAACAGTTAGATGTAACATGGGGAAACCTATAAATTTGGGGATTTCTGTAACTTGGGGCCCAGTCCTTCAGAGCATTAGCTCTGGGTTCACTGGTGTAAACAAAGTGACTTTCCCCACCCTCTGAGTAAAAGCTTGGTTTCTGCACTGCCTGATTTCCATAACAAAAAAACTTAAAGAGGGGAATTATTTGTTTTGCTTCATTGTTTTTGAAGGCTTCATGCAGTGTGGCAGGGAAGGTGTGGTGGAGCAGAACAGTTCACATCATGATGGTCAATGAAACAGAGAAAAGGGGCCTGTGGTCCTCAACTGGCTTTCTCTGTTCTACCTCCGTATTCTATCTGGGTCTATAACCCATGGATGGTGTTGCCTGCATTCAGACTGGGTCTTTTGCTACCAGTTAATTCAGTCTGAAACCCCCCCTCACAAAATACTCCCAGACATAATCAACATCTTAGGTGATTCTAAATCCAGTCAAATGTACAGCTGAAGATTAACTATTGAAGTAGGAGAATAGGAAGTATGTGGCGGAAGAAAGACCAGAGATTAATTTATGGAAGAAGGCAGTGACTGTGGCAGATTAGAAACCTTCCTGGCTGCTGGATGATCTAGGAAATGCATGATATGTAAATGCCCCATAGAAACCCACAAAGACCCCAACTTTCACCTTTGAACTGGAGCAGTATTCTAGCTCTGGCACAATTCCAGTTTGTTTGTTTCTCTCTTCCAATAAATCATCTCCTTTCCTGTAACTATCCACGTATCTCTGTATGTCATTGTTAAGAGACACAAGAATCTGGAAACTCCAGTGGCTCTCTGAAAAGTTCGAGCTCTGTCTGTAGCAGTTAGTTCAGTCGGACTGAAATGGAAAGTACAAGTTGCTTCTGAAGTTTTCTCTCTCCCTTAAAAAGGGTAGAGAGGCAGGTGATCTCTGTGAGTTGAGGATTGATGAACTGACATAAGAACCTCTATTTCGATTTTGCATAGTTTATATGACATTTGTGAGGTGGTGACTTACAAAAACATGGATTCTTATAAGCTTTTCATTTTCCATATTTGAAATGCATGCACCATCCATTTCCCACCCCTGGCCTCTCTAGGTGTTTGCTGGTGCTCAGTATGGAGGGGGCTCCACCCCTTTTTCCCTGTGTGCTCCCACCGAGGGGCCCCAAGACGGCAGGGCATCTTCCTAGCCCACCTCTTGCTGTGCTCTATTCCAAAAATGCCTACCACCCCATTCACAGCTGTGTTGGAAAGTCCACACCCCAAAAAAAGTCAGGTGGATTGCCAACAGCCACACAAAATGGCAAGTGAATGGCCTCGAGGTTTTCCTGGCTTATATCTCCATAGCCCCGCCCCTTAATGGGCCTGACTCCTTCCACAAAGCATGGGAAGGAGGTGGGACCATGGCTTATCAAAGAAACTTTCGGGTCACACCCTATTTCAAAAAGACAAAAAAAGGGGGGGCACCAAATGTATTGCTTCCTTCTAGAGCACTTAGAAAGGTTGGGTAGATACCAGTGGTACTATGATCATAGCCGAGAAAAATCAGATTCAATCGTCTTTCCTTTCCTTGCCTGGACTGTAAACTGGGGGTGGGGCTGGACCCTCCACTGTTCTGTGGGAATGTTAGCTAAATTTATGTGGGGACAAAGAAGTGCGTGCATTCGCATCCGCTGCTAAGCAGATACTAAAGATGAAGAAGCAACTGCCGTTGATGATCGCCTTTAACCTGTGAGATGTACAGATCTCACAGAGACTCATGTCCTGATGGTGAACAGGCCAAGTTCTCACAGAGCTACCTCCACCTCAGGCAGGAGGCAGTCATATAATCAGCCAAGGTGGCAACAGCCACGTGAGTAGCCAAGATGGTGAAAGTCACTGGACCAGCCAAGGTGGAAACGATCACATGACTAATCAAGATGGCAATGCCCACATGGTTCTTTCAGACCCCCGAATGCTACTAGGTCCCTTGAGGATCACCATACTGCCAGACTTTTCTGCACTGATGGCATTGATTCATATGCCCAGATCTTCCTCTACCCAGTTAATTCTTTGTCCCTGTCACCTTTCCAGACGCCTGCCAGGATCACAGAAACAGCAGACCTATACCTACACAGGACTCTAACGTGCACTATTGCAGACTTTTTCTATGCTCAACTCACAGCCAAGATTTCTCCGGAGTCCTATCCATACCAGGAGGCTCCTTAGGTGGAAGAGGAGGGAAGAATGTGAGGCAAATGTCAACTCCACCTGCTCAGGTGCTAATGCCTACGGCCTTTGAATGTGGATCCTGCTTGGTGCCTTCAAGCTTACTTAAATTTTTTGCTTTAATCTGAATTTTTTTTTCTATATGACCAATCCTTGCTAGAGACTAGGATATGAAGTTTGGAGCCCAGTTTCAATGATACAAAAGAAACTGTGGAACATTAGCAAAGGCACAGACTCAGGGGACAAGAGAATTGTCTTTTCCTCCTATGTGAAGACTCAGTGCCCCTCTATGGGAAACAAAGGATGCAAATCGGGCTAGAATAATAGATTGTTTCCCCTCCCAGGACTCCTAGTTAACTGTTAATATAAGCAGATTTTATTTCTGTCTTATTATATCTAACTACTCTAAAAATTTTAAAAATTAATGCATTTATTCTTTTTATGTGTATGAGTGTTTGTGTTTTATAAATACACCCGTGTCATACAATGCCTGCTGAGGCCAGGAGACAGTGTCAGATACCCTGGATCTGGAGGTACAGTCAGCTGTTAACTACCATATGGGTGCTGGGAATCGAACCCAGGTCCTCTGTACGAGCAGCCAGTGCTCTTAACACTAAGCCATCTCTCCAGGTCCTGTATCTACTCTTGACTCTCTCCTGTTCACTTATTAGTAGACAGCTCTATCTCTGTGGGCATGGAGATAATTCCCCAGGTAAAAAGAGTTCCCTTGAATATTAGTTTCGAAGAAACCCATTCTCTTGTTTAGTGTGGATGGCGATGTAAAACCAGAGAGTCAAAGTCATTCATATAAAGAAATCTCTCTTTCTCTGAGCTTGACAACCCACTAGTTCAGGGTTTGTCTTTTTATCTCTTCATTTTTAGTTTAATTTTTGGTTGATTATTTTTTTATAGCCTCTTGGCAAGGGCTTGATCCAAGAATAAGTCCAGAAGTGCTTGGGATGCAAACTAGTTTCTGTTCTTTGACTATGTGTAGTCATGGCCAAGGATTGAAGGAACTTTGCTCTTGGAAACATAAAGACCAGAAGGAGATGAGACTATGGAAATAGCTTCCTCACATGGCCTGTAGTTAAGAGACTCATGGCTACCATCAGAACCAGCGCAGCTGAGCATGCAGGGAGCAAGGGAGAAAGGATCAACTTTGCTTCCAACCCACAGATCTCTTTCCAGTCTGGGCAGACTCTGAATCTGGTAAGATTGTGAAAAGAGTGAACCTGGATGGTGCATTCCTAGGGTTGGAAGTATTGCCGTATTGGACCAGACAGTCAGGGAGGAAGCATGGATTTGAGTATAAGGGATAAAAATAAAAATAACAAGAAGAAAGGGTAGATGGGAAAGTCTGCGCATCCTCGTACTCATCTCTGTGAACTCGAACACATAGCTCAGCTTTATTCATGGGGTCAATGATGAGAACACAAGATGAACCTGTCATTTCTTCAGAAAGCTAGGGTTTGCCATTCTATTTCACTCCTTAGTTATGAGATGTGATTTATCTTTAAGACTTTTCGTAGATACACCCAAATGTTTTTTGCTTGTGTGCGGAATCCATCAACTTCACTATCTTCCTTGTGTATTGAAGAAGTATATAGAGTGTTATGTTTCTAGTTTAATATTTTGCTTACAGAGCTGGGGTGGATCGAAGACATGGCTTCCTTTCTCCTATTTCAGAAGAATTATCAGCAAATATAAAGTGCCACCGCAGGTAGGAGATCACAGCACATCCTTGGGTTTGCGGTCAGATGATGGCACAGGAGAGGGGCCATGCAGCAGAAGGACTTCGTAGAAACAGTATTTTCTATCTGGGCTGCTTCTCTACCCAGTGTGTAATGAGGACAGGGAAGGAGCAGCCTCATCTTGAGTTTTCCAACCTCTGTGCCTCCAGAGCAGCTTCCGGAAGTGAAGGGTTGGTGGAGTTGGACTGAACTCTCTGCAGCAAGGAGATGCAGAGTCTAAGTTGGAGAGACTAAAACATATGAACACAAATGAGATTCTGTACCCTCATTTGAGTCAGAAATATCTGACAGGAGCCAAAAATCCATTGAGAGTTTAAAAGTTAATTTCATAGGATATCTTACTGAAGATTAGTTCCAAATCGGGATTTCCTTAGAAATGTTTGCTGTGGGAGTCCTACAGTGTTGAAGGGCAGAGAAGCTTTTCTGGGTGAGTGCTGGCTCTGTAGACCTTTTTAAAAAAGTACTTTTTTTATTGTATGCATATGAGTGTATTGCATGCTTTTGTGTACATGCACCTCTGTCCTGCAATGCCTGTGGAGGTCAGAAGAGGGCATTGGATCCCCTGGAACTGGAGTTACAGATGGTTGTTAGCTGCCATGTGGGTGCTGGGAATCAAGCAAACCAAGCACAGATCCTCTGCAAGAGCAGCCAGTGCTCTTAACCACTGAACCATCGCTCCAGACCAGATTCGGAAGATCTTAATTCTGTTAACACCTACACCCTAGCCTTCCTCAATAATTCACAGTCTTCTGAGTGTCTAGGAATTTGACTTAAGACTTGCTGTTATTCTCGAGAAAGCTAAGTAAACACTGCTTAGAGAAAACATATAACCCCTCTGTCTACAGGTGTGCTCCCCTGCAGCCCTCCTGTGAGCCTGGGTTTGTGCTCAGCTCCCCCTGCAGTTTCCCGCACTGTGTCACTCACAGCGCAGTAGTACAGGGCCGAGTCTGACGGCTGCAGTGAGGACTTGTGCAGGTGGAAGGAGTTACTGCTCTTGACAAGCATGGCCTGAAACCCTCGGTTCTCCGTCCTCTTGTTTTCAGTTGCCGTCTTCAGGAGCAGCTGAGGGGCTTTGTTGAGATCTTGGATGTACCAGAAAACCACGGGAGCTGAATCAGTGGTCTGGTAGGTGCAGTTCAGCATTACAGATGCCCTCTCTCTGAGAGTAACTGGACCTTCTGTCTGGGTCACAGAATCTCCATTGCTCTTCTCTAGAAAAAATAAAATTGCTTTGTTAAAAGGGTTAGAAAGCTGAAGGTTGTTATGACTTTAAAAATGAATTGTCGTTAGACTTTAGGATAAAATGTGACTTACTGAAGAGTAAGAATATCACAAGCCCCAAGCAAGTAACAGAAAACATGTTGCTAGAAGGAGCTGATTCTTGCTTCTTTCAATACACCAAATCTTGCAGTGCTAAGCTCCAGAAAGACTGTGTAGTAAGCAGTCACTCATAGGCAAGAATGTTTTGTATAACAACCATCCTTCTTGTGGCTACAAAGACAATAGGCGTGTTCAACTGAGATCATAATGCAAATGAAGCCACAGCTAGAATTTTGTGTTCTCTGGTGATTTCCATGCATGATCTACCAAAGGTTTGTTTAATGCTGTTTTAAAGTCTACAGCAGATGTTGTTATGAAGAAGTCATGTCCAAGACCTGCAATGCGTGACTATTTCCAATACTGTATGACTAATAATTCTGTAATAGTCCACAGTGCATGCTGTATTAAAAGATAAGAGCCTTTTCAACAAGATGAGTAGGGTACTTTCTACCAGTGACACTGAAATGGCCTCTGTAGAGGACAAATTTGAATGATACCTAGAAGTTGATTCTTGAGCCCTGTTATTTAACTAAGAAGTCACTTTCATCATGAGTAATTAAAAATGGTCTATCACTCGTATCTTTTTTTGATAAATATCCCATTTATTATTTTTATTTTATGTGTATGAGTGTATTGCCTGCATGTGTATAAGTGCACCCATGTCATTCAATGCCCACAAAGGTCAGAATAGTGTGTTGGATCCCCTGGAACTGGAGTTACCATGGTTGTTAGCCACCATGTGGGTGCTGGAAATTGAACCTGGGTCCTCTGCAACAGCAGTCAGAGCTCTTAACCACTGAACCATCTCTCCAGCCCCCTCACTGTATCTTTTGGAAACAGAATTTCAGGACGTTTTACATGGTTCAACTATTAAGGATCCAATACAGAAAAATCATGGTTTCAAAGGTAGAAAAAAGTCTGTAGTCCTGATCTCAGGTTTGGGTACAGACAGCAGGTGCCTGGGGCACACCGTGCTTCTGCTGCACAGAAGTATGTGGCCGAGTCCCCAGGGTGGGCCCCTGTGATGTGCAGGGAGAGATGTTTTTCCTTCTTATTCAGTAGGACAGAGAGTCTTGGGTCTTCTTTTTTGTCCACATTTGAAACAATTTTTATAAGGAACTGGAGACCTGCCCCAGGCTCCTGCTTGTACCAGTAGAAGTAAGATGAGGTGCTGTCTGTGTAGCTGCAGTTGATGACAGAGCTGTCTCCCTCCCGGACACTCAGGAAAGCAGGACTCTGCTCCACCTGCTCTCCTCTGCTCACACCTGTGTGAAAGGAACATCAGGAAGAGCATCAGGCATCAGTCTCCAAACTTTGCTTTTTTCTTACAGTAGTTCAGGCAATCTGGAGAAGGTCAGTCTGCTCTTCAGACTTAATAGTAAACACCACTAACAAACTTGTTTCCCAAAAGCTCTCAACTCACAGTCCAGCTTTAGCCACAAGCACAGGAACAAAGGTCCCGTCAGCGTCTTCATTGTGCCCCTTGAGACTGTGGCCTCCAGCCAGGCAAGATGTGTGTTATCAGGTTACCTCCTCTTTCCTCCCCAGCATAGCTGGTTCCTAAACTATCTGTACAGAGCACTGTTTCTGTCTGCAGCCTGCTCCTAGAGAAGTCAACCAGAAGTCCCTTCTAAGTTCTGCAGCTGCGGAGATGCTCTGCCATCTTGTGGCCAGATCCTGCTCAACCAGCTGCTCAAACTCTTACCTTGCACAGGGACTTGCTTCAATTCCTTTATTCAATATTTGTCCTTAGACTATAGAATCCAGGGTTTAGAACTGGTTGGATTTTATCTTTCTGTAGCACACAGTTCCACATATTTACTATAACGTCAGAGTAAGTATTTCTGGGTCATTCCTGACAGCTGTGTCCATCGTGCAGGGTAGTTAGTGCTAAGCAGGATTAGAAAGCGTTGAGACCTGCCCTCCAGTAACAGGTTTCAGTGATCCACCTGCCTCCCTCACATCCCATCATACTCAGGAGACAATGCCTGGCTTAGACATTAGCCCCCACCACTGAACACCCCAATTGGGGTGTTTCTGGAGCCAGTGAGAACCTGCCAGGAAAACAGGCTCAAAACTAATGGTGATCAGAACCAGGTTCTTATACATTATACAAAGGGAATTCCCTAAAGTGACTCCAGTACTTTTGAGTACTGACCCTTAATCACAAAAAGGACAGGCATGTCCTGGTGCATAACACTTGGTTCCTTCAGTACCCACTCACCTTCGGAAGGTAGCTTTGTTCACAATTGTACTCTCAACATCTCACTCATTTCTAGGCAGACAATCCAAGCTTAAAAACCCAGGAATAGAATTTCAGAATTAAAATGTGCCATAGATCAAGCGGCCTTAGCAGTTATAGAACAGCCCACCAAGAGCTGTGGAGTGATATTCTTCTCAGCAACATTTGAAACTGTCTCTAAGATAGATCACATTATTCACCATAATCTAAGCTTTTTCAAATACAAAGGAATTTAAATGATGTCTCATGTCTTATCTGATTATGGTAGAATAAACTTCGAAATTAATAGCAAGAGAAACTACAGACATCATCTAATTACACTGAGATAGAAATAAATTGCCAGTGATACATTTGAGGTACAAACATGTAAGAAATTTTAAATTTCTGGGGCTGGAGAGGGCACTGTCTGCTGTTGCAGAGGACTGGGGTTCAAATCCTGCTACCCACATAGCAGCTAGCAACCATCTTGCCACTAACAACCTTCTGTAACTGCAGTTCTAGGGACTCCAGCACCCTCTTCTGTTCTCCCTGGGCATTGCATGACATGGATGCACTTATATACATGCAGGCATAATACTCATACACATGAAATTAAGATGAATAACAACTTAGAATCAGTCTCCTGTCCTTATGCTTCGGACCTGTCCTTCTGAGGAAGCTTGAGAGTACCTGACTCAGCCTCCAGCCTCCGGAGGGGTGAGTAGCCCAAACCTTGTGGCACCTGTCCCCTGCTTTGGGGAGATCTCTAATCCCTCACACTGCTCTGAGGCTCAGGCTTCCCTGCTGTCTCTAATGAGCAGGCACATCCTCTTCCCATTCTCTCTCCTTGAGCCTTGAACCTATGCCCCTGAGGCATTCTGAGCATCCCTGATTTGGCCTCCAGGCAGTGTGGTAGTCCAAATCCTGCATTCATTATTCTGCTTTGGGATCATGTCTCATCCCTCCCACTCTGCCTGTCAGACATCTGCATCCCACCCTGGACCAGTCAGACCTCATCCACTGCAGCTTGTTTCCCTTGCATCCTGACCAGCTCCATTCCCTCTCCCAGTGCTGTCCCCTTCCAACCTTGGGTCCAGGCCCCCTCCTGCTCATCCCACCTTAGATTTCTGGAGTAGCCTCCTAGCCCAGACCCATCCACTGCAGACCTGATCCCTTGCACCCAGACTAACTGCATTCTCCAGCTTCAGGACTCGCAATTACTGTGCCTAGACAGACTCTCCCCACACTGATCCCACCCCACCTTAGCTCTATGATCCATGTCTGAAGCAATTGTAAGAGGAACATTTATAATTATAAATGTTTTTACTAGAAAAATCAGGGATTAGAGATATGGCTCAGGGGTTAAGAGAACTGCTCTCTGCTGTTGCAGAGGACCTAGGTTCAGGTCCCAGCAATGAAGAGGTCTCCAGTTCCAGGGGACCTGACACCCTCTTCTGGGCTTCACAGGCATTGTATGTGGAGGGACAGGCCAAGGCAGAGCTTCCTGTTTTGAGTCTGAAGACCTAAGTTCTGCCAGGAGACCTGGAGAAAGCTGACACACCGAAGAACCAATGAGAGAGAAACATCTCAGACTCGGGGACCAATGGGAGGACCGGGAGGGGTATAAAGGTTGCTCCCTTGTATGCAATAAAGGAGAGCTCTGCTTGCAAGACATTGAGCCTCCTGGTGTCTGTGTCCTTGACTCTGTGCCTGTGTCGTTGCCTGCCCCCGCGGTGGAAGAGAGGACCGGCCTAACAGCAACAATTGCATGCTCAGATGAATTTGTACACACACAAGCAAAACATTCATCTAGGAAATAAATAAATAAATAAATAAATAAATAAATAAATAAATGAAAATAAGAAACATCTCATAAACAACCTAGCGATAGTGATGCCCTTTAAGGTTCTGCCAGAACAGAGCAGAACAACAGTGGACTGAAAGCAGTAACAATGAAAAGTAAAGAAATGGAAACTATGAGAACAAAACGAAGAATCAATGAAAGAAAGAGGTTCTGTCAGAGGATTCACAAGATGGCACACAGCATGTAAACAGATTTGGAGGCAGAAACCACAAGATCATCTCAACAGAAGCGAGAAAGACCTTTGACAAAGTTCCTCATCCCTTCATGATAAAAGTCATGAAGAAACTAGAGACAGGACAGAAGTATATGAACAAACTGTACCCAATATTTTACTAAATGAAGTCAGGAAGGAGTCAAAGCCGGAAACATACCAGTCTTAGTCAGTAGAGATCTCAGTTTACCCCACAAGGCAAGAGAAAGAAACAAAAACCATAGAGACAGGACAGAAAGACATCAAATTACCACTAGTCAAAAATGACATGACTTACTCTTCACAGGCGCTAAAGACTCCACGAGAAATCTCTTATACTCGTAAACATTTTCAGCAAAGTAGTAGGTTACAAAACCAGCAAATAATATTAGTAGCTCTTTTATACATTCACATGAACATGCTGAGAAAGAAATAAGGAAATCAGTTCCATTCACAAGTTTAAAATATGTAAATCAAGAATGAATTTAACCAAAAGGGTGAATAACTTCTAT